ACTATAACTAACTATAGCAACTATATGTGCTTGTGTATGTATATATGTATATATGTATACGTGTGTGTGTGTGTGTGTGTGTGTGTGTGTGTGTGTGTATCTATCTATCTATCATGATAGGTGAAAAAAAATTTCAGGTTATTAACAATTTGTTCTTGCTCAGATCCACGATCAATATTCTTAGCACCAACAGTCAGGAACTAAAACGACAAGTTGCATTGGGAAAATCTATTGTAAAAATCTTCTCTCCAGAATTCTAAAGAGCAATGATGCATGTAACTAAAGTGCACTTGACTGAGCCCAAGGTCTTTTCAATTGCTTGCTATGCATCTGAGACCTGGAAAGATGAATAAAGATGATGGAGGAATAAGGCCTTTGAGTTGTGGTTCTGGAGAAGAGTATTGCATATACCATTAACTTCCGAGAAAACAAATACGTCTGTTCTGGACAGGATGAACTCAGGTTGGTCCTTATAGGCAAGGATTTTGAATTTCTGTCTCACATACTTTGAGCATATTCAAGGAGAGACCAGTCCTTAGTGAAGGAGGGTCAAGACAAGAGAGGAACACCTTGTATGAGATGGATTCACATGCACTGTGGGGTCAGGTGCATCAGAGATGGTGTGATTGGCTCAGGATAGGCAAGGTTCAGACCCATTGTTTTTATAGGATCATTATGAGTAGTAGTCGATGTGACTAGAAGGTAATTAACAGCCACAAAAACAACTATTTATCTCTATATCTTTATCTATATATTGTTGTATACCATTGAGTCAAAATTGACCTATAGCTGAGCTTCTACTGGGTTTTCAAAGGCATATACTCACACAGGAGACATTGTCTATCTCATGGAACAGCTGGTGGATTTGAACCTACTGCCTTCAGGATTGCAGCACAGCTTCTTATCAGTAAGCAACTACAGTGTCAGAGTATGTTGTTTTTGTTATGTGTTCTCGAGTTGTCTGTGACTTAGAGTGACCCTGTGAACAATAATACCTCAGAATTCTTTCACGAACTCTGTCTCCAATGCACCTAACTCCATTATCTTAGTTATTGTGCCAATCCATCTCGTGCAGAATCTGACTCTCCTGTGCCGTCTCCGCACCCTTCCAAGCATGATTTCCTTATCCAAGGACTGGTCTCTCCTAGCAAAATTCCCAAAGTATAGGAGACTTAGTTTCAAAATTCTTGCCTCTAAAGAGCAACTTTGTTTCACCCTCTCTGGGACAATGTATTTGTTCTCTGGGCCATCTGTGGAACGCTCAACACTTATATCAAGCACCACAACTCAAAGGCATTGATCCTTCTGTCATCCTTAGTCATTGTCCAGCTCTCTGATGCATAGAAAGTTGTTTCAAAGACCATGGCCTTGATCAAGTGCATCTTAACTCTCCTGACTAAGTTGATAACAATCCCAATCTCCTCTCCACCTATCATGGTGCTGCCAATTTACAGAGTGATGAGAATCTTTGCTTTCTTGATGTTGAGGTTCAGTTCATATTGAGGACTGCAGTCCTTGATATTTTGCAGCAAGTCCTTCTCAGTTCCAGCAAGCTAAGTTGTGTCATCTGCATAATGAATGCTGTTGAATATTCTTCCTCCAATTCTGATGTCACATTTCTGTTCATAAACCTAGTCTTCCAAATGATCTGTTTTACATATACATTAAAAAGGTGTGGAAACAAGGCACATCTTTATTTACTCCTTTCCTGATTTTGAACCATACAGTGCTTTCTTGCTATGTTCTGATGATTGTTTCCTGGTCCAAAAAATATATTCCACATGAACAAAATTAGGTGTTCTAGGAATCTCATTCTTGTCAATGTTAGATGCTTTTTTAGTGATCTATACAGTCAAATATATTTGTATAGTCAAAGAAACACAGATGGATTCTTCTGGCATTCTGTGCTCTCAGCCAAGCTCCATCTGACATTGACTATAATGCCCTTAGTGCCAATGCCTCTTCTAATGCTTATATTTCTACTAGTTCTCTGCCAATGTACCATCCCAGTCATTTTAGGATAATCTTCAGGAGAATTTTGCTTGTGTGTGATACTAGTGATATGGCACAATAATTTCCATGCTCTGTTGGATCACTTTCTTTTTTAAATGGGGATAAATGTAGATCTCTTCCAGTAAGTTCTCCAGGTAGCTGTCCTCCGGATTACTTGACACAGTTTGCTGAACATGTCTAGGGCAGGATGTGTTTGTTGAAATATGTCATTTGGTATGACGTCAATTCCTGGGGCATTGTTTTTTGCTAATTCCTTCAGAGTAGTGTGAATGTCTTCCTTCATCAACATTGCCTCTAGATGATGTAATGTTTCATGGAAGCCCTCTGCATCAGCCAATTCCTTTTAGTACAGTGATTCAGTGTACTCCTTCCAT